TAAGCGGAGTCATCAAAATCGCGTGGTAAAGCGTTATAAAACTTGGAGCGGTCGCTTGGGGAAACTGGACCATATACAACGTGAAAATAAATTGTCATTGCACCAAGCTGACCTCACGACCAAGTACCTATTATTGAGAATGGGGTCGGTGACGTGCCGGTGTGTGATATCTTGAAGGTTACGAAAAGGATGTGCTCCGCTGAAAGCTAAGGCAACCTCGTTGCGACTTTGATATTCATGTGTGTGCTGGTTAGACCAGTAAGCACAAGCGTTGGAGTCAGCCGCGTGGAGGAAGTAGTTATTACTTGATAATGAACCGGGGCTTGAAAGCTTGGTACTTGAAGTGCAATTACTTGGTAGCAAGAGAAGATGTCTTGATATAGTTTTAGGCTTGGACGATTGAGACCGTTCACATCGAGTGAAACAGCCTTAAAAGCCCAGCTTGATTGATTAAAAGTGAAGTCTAGGAGTTATTTCTCCAGTAGGGGATGGCTTGAGATCTTAAACCTTTTGAACTGGAGTTTTCAAAAAGGTTGAAACGGACTTGTATTGCATCAGGTCTTTAGCAAACGTGATAAAACCGAGCAACCACAGTGTGTTTGGTCAGATAAGAGGGGAATAATTTAACTGGAGAAATACGTGGGATTCTCGTCAGTTAATACCATTATCTTGACTGGGTCATGGTACACCGTTGGGACCATGATATGGATAACTGCGTCCCAAGCAGATAAGGCCAGTAAGGCCTCAACTGCATTTGACGGTACTGCTTTTCGATGTCTAAGTAGACGGCGGAGCATCTTGTCCGCAGGCCCGGTAGCGTGAAAAAGTTGTAGGCATTTTTGGTACTTCAAATTTGCCTTGGGCAGAATTGGTAGTAAGGCCAATAATCGGCACACTGCTCTGTTAAGTGCACGAGTGTCAACTTTAGCTTTAGTTGCTATAGCGCCCAGCATAAGTCCTGGGTTAGCCTCAATAGTGGCTAACTGGTCCAGAGGGGGTCGACTTTCGAATAAAGAAAGGAGTCCACATAGTCAAAGAGTTCACCCCGAGTCATAGACTCAACTTCGCTGTTAATGGTCATTGGGGTAACCATAGTAATGTAGGTCGAGTCACCTTTGTATGGTGGGGTGCTCTCCAAACAAACATCATCATTTTCTGAATGATGGATTTCAATATCGAAATGCCATTGCGGTGTGTCAGGGTCCAAATCATCATGCCACAATGGGCTATGATAAATAGGCCTTACAACCTTTTTGGCTTGAGTCGAAGAGTCCAAATCCTTAACCTCGTATTCTATAGAGAAAATGTCCACAGAGCTCGGGTTGTCGATAGCGGATAAGGCTCGACGGTTTTTAGCCGCTTTCGCCCATACTGGGGCGGAGGGAGATGAAACTTGTACAATAATTGTTTCATTCATTAGATCAGAATTATCCCTCAGACCAACTTGGTCTTGTTGGAAGTCATCATCACTATCATCATATATTGGAGGGTCGTCCGATGTTGACATTGCGTCGTTAGTATCAGACGGCTGTCCGTTCATCGCAGGCTGGGACGCCTGAAGCGACTGTCATAGAGACGAGTGTAAAGGTGCGACCGGCAAATTCCTGGATACAGTATCCGGGATAGCCTCGGTCGTTGAAGGTGTAGTCTCCACTTGTTTAGCCGCTCTTTTTGCTGCTTCTTGTTCTTGATGCAGAGGAATGGATGGTGGGGTGATCCGGTTGTAACGTGCCACCTTGTGGTTAATAATGCACGGACGAAGATTAACCATGCCATCATCAGGGGAGGGAAAAGAAATTCCCGTAAAGGTTTGGTTGGTGATGGGACTAAAATATCCGGGGCTTGATTCTGTGCGAAATACACGGTGCGCTCTCGTGAGGGTAGACCGTTACGCATGTAAGTTGGTAAAATGCATGTGGGAGGTGCACCACGATTTTCAACCAGTCGAATATGGCTCGATCTGTTACTTCGTCGGGAAGTCGAACCAAATCCACATAGTAACGTGAGCCATATTTATAAAAACGTGCTATTTGGATTGTTGAGCCAAAAGCAGTTACTGACACTTGGCTCAAATTCGAAGCCATGTCATAAGATGCACAAGTAAAGCGAACACCAGCATTAGGGATAATCAAACAACTTTGTAGAAGCCGGGCTTGACGTCCTTCCATACATGGGGTTGTGAGTCCGTTGCCAGCTCGTCCAACAAATCCGTCAGATGTTTCTTTCGGATTACTGTAGGGCATGGGATCCACATACGGTGTAATTCAGTCGATGCGGCTGGCATAGGAGCTAGCTTGAGCGCATTGCTCCGTAGCGCATCGAAGTTTAATGAAGCTACTTCAGCTTCACTTGCGGCGAGGTATGAGTCCGTTGGGACTTGGCGAGGATAATAAGATCGTGGTAGTTTTGGTGCAATAGGCATCTTTCGTATATATATTTTTTCTCTCTTTTATATGTAAAATGCAGTATAAAACTTTTTTTTTCGCTTTACTATGGAGAGTTAGTTAAAGCTTTTAGGCTCTAAACTCCGTTAAGGTTAACGCGGGTGACTGGCTGCAATTAAAGTACAAACGAAAACTTTGAGGGATTTTACCACACAAAATCTCTAGAGTTTTAACTGTGAGCTACGCAACGCAAAGTGTAGCTTAATACACGGCGTATTGCGGCTGTAGTCCTTTAACTAGGAAATTAAGCCCGTAAACCCTTGAACGGTGGTTCTTAAGTCCTCTCAATCAGAATGCAATATGCATTAGATATCAGGAAACGGGGGTAATATTCCAGGAAAAAGGCGCGTATACCTTGTTGGGGTGAAGGCAGTGAGTGAAGGCACAGAGTGCACAGTAGACGTTAAACAGCAAAAACCGCGAGGTTAGAGCTGGGCAGCGTTTGAACCGAGAGGTCAAGCGAAGTCGGCGCCACGAAAGTGTTCGAAGCGGGAGAAGCGAAGACAGACGGAGGGTGCGAGTGGACGGTGTACAGACGGGGTCTGAACAATGTCGCAAGGGTGGCCTTTTCTTGTGCACGTGTGCGGGAGAAGGCAAATTGAGAACTGTCTTCATAATGTCTGGATTGTAGTGGTGGGTAATCTCATAAACTTTGTAATGTGCAGATTACTTTCACATTACCGATCAAACGGTTTGATGAATGCCCGCGAAGGTGTCTATTGCTCAGAGGAAGCTGATCAGTGGCAATAATATATCAAGTCAATATGTAACGTTGAGCAGTGATACGTCGTCGAATATGATTGCAGTGTGTTCATGCTGATGAGAGAAAATATCGTCTCCTCAAATTTGTCAATCTCACGTAATGCTAACAGCTGGCCAAGAAGTTTGCACTGCATATATGCATTGATTGTTCGCACCAAACGCGCCGAATGGTGCTGAAACTACATTATTTTGGGGTCACTTTGTCATCGCAGCGTCCTTTAAACGGGGAGTGCTGGTATGTCAATCATATCTGGAGTTTCTCGTTTAGTATCAGCAAATTGTGTATTGCGTCAACCAAGAAAATAAAATGATTGACTATGGTCGAAGATTTTGTCTAATTAGAGAGTCATTGTGCTCAACAAAGCAACCATCTATAAAGTAAAGTGATATTTAGTCATGAAACGACACTAGTATGTAGAGACTGGAAAGTCTCGGTTTCTTCGGGTATTCGAGAGCCAGATAAGGGTCGGCTAATTACCTGTGGAGGTTCAATCAGCTAAGTATTCAAAGGGCACTGTTCACAAACAATCCCTCAGACACAACACACAAGCTTGAGGGACGAGGAAGCGATTTCTGTCGTGGACGGAGAAGGATAATCCCGACTTGGAGAGAAGATGAACGACATTTTTACGTTATAGGCAAATTTACATCTGAATTATTGCTCCTGGCTACATGCAAAATACTTCAAAGTGTAACAGGGTTACACGTACCCTGGTAACAGGGTGTGTGTAATACGAGATAGGCATGGTGTGACTGCACCCAAACAAGAATACGGTATGTGGCTAGGTAGCGAGTTAGTTATGCATGTATTTAGATTTTACTATATATTTTAAAAAATCTATACATTTAAAATTAGGCGGCTTTGCCGCAGATAAAAAAGAGTAATTTGCCGTGGGTTAAGGCAATAATTACTCTTGGAGTAAGCGGATGGCGACCTGCTAACTCGTACTTGCTCCAAGTATAAAACAAAATGTCGGTGACCTAAATTCCGCTTCCTCTTAGCGCAACGCTACGGCAGCCCCGTTGCACTTGGTAGTACTTGTAATAAATCTACACCTGAGTCCTTTAGACTGATCCTCTGTGAGGATGAGAAAGTTTTTCCTCTTTGTCTTAGGGTATGTAGGACGGGCTTAATAAGCTGATGTCCTTGCTTGGCCCTGAGGGCGTGCAACACCTTGT